AACAGTCCAGTCCAGTCTAGCCCAATCTAGTCAAACCCACAGTCCAGTCCAGCCTAACCTAATCTAGTCAAACCCACAGTCCAGTCCAGTCCAGTCGAGCCCAATCTAGTCAAACCCACAGTCCAGTCCAGCCTAACCTAATCTAGTCAAACCCACAGTCCAATCCAGTCTAGCCCAATCTAGTCAAACCCACAGTCCAGTCCAGTCTAGCCCAATCTAGTCAAACCCACAGTTCAATCTTGTTCAATCCAATATGGTCAGGTTGCAGTTCAGTCTAATCCAATCTAGTCTGTCATTCAGTCCAATCGATTGTCAAGTCCGGTTCAATCTAGTCAGTCCAGTCCAGTCAAATTCAGTTAGCCCGGTCCAGTTCAATCCACAGTCAAAATATTTCAAAATATTTCTCTCAACTGCATTTAGTGTATTACAACTAGTTTTAATTACGAAAAGCAAAAGTGTCACATTTATATCATTTGATAGCGGTGTTGTAATATACTTGTTGCTATTAGGTAAATTGGCCAATCTCACAAAAAAGAAACATTAGTCTCAAACCACACATTGTATGATTTTAACCTTTCCACACTTAATTCATCACTGTACAGTCATTTTATTAAACTAAGGTAATCATAACAAATATTAATTTCTCATGTGTCCAATCCGTCCGTGTGTTTTCATTACTTGGGTCAGAAATATTCAAAATGAGCATGTTTGTCAGTATCTTACCACTAGAATCGTCTAAAATTGTCTCCTGCATATCTTCTGCTTCTAAAATATCTTCAAAAGACGGTTTTCTTTCTGTTTCCTTAACTGGAACTGGAACTGTAAATTATAAGTCATTAAAGTTGGTCAACGATCACAGCAACCCCACATAGTGTATTTAATCCAGATGCCCTTTTGTCACATGGAGCTCACTGAGAAGAGTATAATCTATTTATGTCAAGATGCTGATGAGAATGTGACAAAGAAAAGCGTTTCTTTTGTACCCCCATCCCTAACCCCAACCCTCATTTTAACACTCCCTATTACCCAATTCATTTGTATATGCCCTCTCTAGATAACTATAGATGTCCTTAGGAGGGGCATGTACAATTAAATGGAGAGTGCTGGAGGGTAGGGGTAGGGTTAGAGTTAGGGATAGGGGGTACAAAAGGAACTCTTTCCGTGACAAATTGTGATGTAAGAATCTATGTCAATCATAGGATTCTGTCAATGTTTAAATAGCTGGTTTTCAGCATGACCAAATACTGGCAATACTTCAGTTTAATGTTTAATTGTGATATATTGACATGCTCAGCCATATTCAATTATATCCAATTAAAACTGAATATAATGCAGGGATTTACAAAGATTTGGTTTGCAAATTACTGAGGTACTGAAGTAATTCTTATTGATGGCATATATACATATTTCCAATGAACTTTTACTTATTACAGGGTCC